TTTTTTTGGAGACAGTCTCAAGCTGTTGCCCTGGGTAGAATGCTGTGGTGTCACAGCTCACAGCAACCTCCAACTCTTGGGCTCAAGCAATACACTTGCCTCAGTTTCTCTATTTTTATAGAGATGAGGTCTCACTTTTTGCTTACGCTGGTCCTGAACTCAAGAGCTCATAAGATCAACCTGCCTAGGCGTCCCACAGAACTAGGATTACAGGTGTGAACCATAGCGCCTGGCTCCCCAAAAATACATTTTATGAAGACATCTGTCCAGAAACTGCCTGTCTAACCCCAGTTCAAGATCACTCTTTATTTGCCTTAGTAGGAAATATTTCTGAACAATTTGAAATACTCATTTTTCCCTTAAAAACCTTTGTTTTCAATTACCTTCCTGCTTAATATAGTTTACTGCGGTACTCATATAGTCCCACTACAATGCCCGAGACTGTTATTTAGGTCCACAGAACACTTCAGATTTCTTCAAACTTACCTCACAAAAGCAGAATGAAACTGCTGGGATTCCAGAATACGCAAGAAACGGGAAAGCAGCATTATCATAAGAGAACATTTCACTGCAAGGAAAATCAGAGTAAGTTTTTTTTTTTTTTTTTTTTTTTTTGCAATTTTGGCCAGAGCCAGGTTTGAACCCACTGCCCTGGTATACAAGATTGTACCCTACACCCTAATCCTTGAGCCACAGGCGATACCGTTTTTTTTTTTTTTTTGAGACAGAGTCTCACCATGTTACCCTCTGTAGAGTGCCATGTCGTCATAGCAACCTTCAACTCTTAGGCTTAAGTGATTCTCTTGCCTCAGCCTCCCAAATAGCTGGGATTACAGGTGCCTAACACAACACCTGACTATTTTTTTCCTCTTTTTTTTTGTAGAGACGGAGTCTCACTTTATCGCCCTCTGTAGAGTGCCATGGCATCACACAGCTCACTCCAACTCCTGGGCTTAGGCCATTCTCTTGCCTCAGCCTCCCGCGTAGCTGGGACTACAGGCGCCCGCCACAACACCCGACTATTTCTTTGTTGTAATTTGGCCGGGGTCAGGTTTGAACCTGCCACCCTCTGTATATGGGGTTAACGCCCTACCTACTGAGCCACAGGCGCCACCCAATGCCCGGCTATTTCTTTTTTTTTGGCTGTTGTGTCACAGGCCCAGACCAGGTTTGAACCTGCCATCTTCAGTATATGTGGCCAGTGCCATAACCATTGTACAACAGGTGCCAACCCTGAACATGTAAGTTTTTTCTTTTTCCAGTTTTTGGCTGGGGCTGGGTTTGAACCCGCCACCTCTGGCATATGGGGCTGGCACTCCACTCCTGAGCCACAGGTGCCGCCACCCACCACTTTTTTTTGAGACAGAGCGTCACTCTGCCACCCCTGCCAGCTCTGGTGTATGTGACTGGCGCCCTAGCCACTGAGCTATAGGCGCCGAGGCGGGAACATGTAAGTTTTTTAAACACCAGAGTGCGTTTTATCATGCCACTCTTCCCCTACCCCAAATAAGTTCTCGAACCTCTGTAGGTCTAAGTAAGCTCACTGGAAGGCTAGGTTTAGATCTCTACCAAACACAATAGGTGCTACTAGGCAATTCTGCTTTATTAGCTTGTTCATTTCACTTTTGAACTTACACTTTGCTCATCCAGTTGCTGTCTTGATATAAAGACTGCCCAGTAAGGGGATGTTTCACCTGTAAAATATAATTTTCCATTATAGCTAACCTTTCTGAACTTTATTATTCAGACTAGTCACTAACATGTTTCTCCCTACTACCACTTTTAAAAACATTCTTTTATTATATCTTCTTGAAGAAATCTACTTTAAGGCAGTTAAAATAAATTTGAGACAGAGCCTGAAGCTGTTGCCCTGGGTGGAGTGCAGTGGCATCACAGCTCACAGCAACCTCCAACTCCTGGGCTTTCGTGATTCTCCTGCTGCCTCTGCCTCCCAAGAAGCTGAGACTATAGGCACCTGCCACAATGCCTGGCTATTTTTTGGTTGCAGCTGTCACTGTTTGACAGGCCCAGGCTGGATTAAAACCCGCCAGCTCAGGTGTATGTGCCTGACGCCTTAGCCACTTGAGCCACAGGTGCTGAGCTCTAAAATAAATTTAAGTGATGACTACTTAGCTCCCACTATCAGTTCCTACAGTTAGTGATAAAAATGCCTCCCTTTTTTCTTTTTGAGACAGAGTCTCACTTTGTGGCCCTTGGTAGGGTACGGTAGCATCACAGCTCACAGTGATTCTCTTGCCTCAGCCTCCCAAGAAACTGGGACTACAGGCACCGATCACAATGCTAGGCTATTTTAGAGATGAAATCTTGCTTTGGCTCCGGTTGTTCTAGAACCTATGAGCTAAGCAATCCCCCCACCTTGGCCTCCCAGAGTATCTTTTTTTTGAGACCAGAGTCTCACTATGTCACCATCAGTAGAGTGCTGATGTCACAGCTCACAGCAACCTCCAACTCTTGGGCTTAAGCGATTCTCTTGCCTCAGCCTCTCAAGTAGCTGGGACCACAGGCACCTCCACAACACCAAGCTATTTTTTGGCAGTTGTCATTGTTTAGCAGGCCCAGGCCGGGTTGGAACCTGCCAGCTTTGGTGTATGTGGCTGGCGCCATTTTCACTGAGCTACGGGCGCTGGGCCAGTGTCTTCCTCCTTAAGGACACTTTAAAGGAGGCTTAACCACAATTATGAAGGTTCCCTCTCACTGCATGATCTGTGTATTTTTGCTTTCCTCTTCTTGTACATTTTATGCTGCCAGCCTAACTGCCTTGCTTGAGATATCCTATAATAACCTCTAGTACTCCATGGGATCAAAGCCAAGATCTATTACTTGACCTTTTCTTTTCCCTCCAGCTTTAACTATATTCCAACATATAGCCTCTAATCCCAGAGACAAATACTCTTTCATAGGTACCTCCCTCATTCAAATCTATGAACATTCAAGTCTGTTGTACTTCATATTTCACCTGGCCTCTTATTTTAAGTCAAGTTCACTTAAACACTCCTTAACATTTTGACTCTATACACAATCCCCTTATAGGCATCTGCACTACAGTTCAGGCCTCATGCCGTTTTATTACATATTCTTAAATAGACCACAGTTTGAGTTTGAAGCCATTCATATACCACTTCCCCGACTTCACATGGCTCAGTAGTCTTAGGACCACCAGAAGTATCTAACATAAATAATGCTGCTATAGAATATATTCTAAGTTCCTAATTTTGGTTCCTGATTTAGTGGTTTAAATATCAGTGTTTTTCATCTTATGTGAATTCAACAAAAAATTAAGTTACATAGTTTTTTTACAATCAGGTATACACTCACATCTCGCATCGTTTTCTCAATAAGAGTATACAACAGTGGGCTGGCAGAAACCTTGAAGTTTTTGGTACCTGCAAAGAAATCATTTCAGTGTTCCATCTCCATCAAATTGTCACACTGCTACGTCTACAACTGAAAGTACTTGACTAATAGGAAATAACTAACCTAGGCCACATGTCCTATACAATAGCTGACTTATTAATAAAGTAGACAGGAGTAATTTAGGAGTTAAGTATTTTAGCTTGACTCAGCTGAGGCTTATTCTTTCAGTTCTCCTCCTTCGATGATGTTAAGACCAATTTTAGGTTCATAACAAAATTAAGAGGAAATGGTAACCCATATATCCTATCCTTTGCCCTAACACATGCATTATCGGTGGTTAATTTTTTTTTTTTTTGAGACAGAGTCTCACTTTGTTGCCCTTGGTAGTAGAGTGCCATGTCATCATAGCTCACAGCAACCTCAACCTCAAGCAAGCCTCTTGCCTTGGCCTCTCAAGTAACTGACAGTACCTGTAGGTGTCCACCACAATACCTGACTATTTTTGAGAGACAGGGTCTTGATATTGCTAAAGTTGATCTCGAACCTATAAGCTCAGGGCAATCCACCTGCCTTGGCCTCCCAGAGCTGGGATTATAGGCCTAAGCTACCATGCCCAGACCAATGGTTGATTTCCTTATTTTTCTAAACTTTCTTGTTCACCCAGCTAGTATCTGCTAGCCATACTAAGCTTGCTTTACTTAATGTATTCTAATGCAAAGGGAAAACAAGAAACTGATTAACTGAATAAATATTTAGTTCAATTGTAACACTTTTTCTCTCCAACTTAGACATTTCACTGTTTGCAGTTCAGTCAGGTATATCTATTTTTTTTCCTGAGGCTGAGTCTCACTATGTCGCCCTTCAGAGAGTGCCGTGGCATCACAGCTCACAGCAATCTCAAACTCTTGGGCTTAAGTGATTCTCTTGCCTCAGCCACCCAAGTAGCTGGGACTACAGGCGCCCGCCACAACACCTGGTTATTATTTGTTGCAGTTGTCACTGTTATTCAGCTGGCCAAGGCCCAGTTCAAACCCGCCACCCTCAGTGTATGTGAGGGCACCGTAACCACTGAGCTATGGGCACCAAGCCCTATATCTGCACTTTAAATAACGCTCCAACTCTTTTAGAAATCACTACTCTAGACAAGGCAATTTGTACCCATTCTGTAACCTAATGGACTATTTGAGAGAAAAGCTCAGAATCTTTTGCTCTGGTTATGGCCAATGTTAATTTTCATAATTATATATTTTGCTTTACAATGTTTTCTTCTACTATTTAAGTAATTTGCCTGAATTCATAAATAGCTAATGAAAATGATACTTACCAAGTACAGCTTTGTCCAAATTAATATACGTGAAAGCTTTTAAATGCAAAGAGTAAAGGTATCCCTAGAAAGAAAAATATTAATGTATTAACATGAATTAATTTGCTTATTTATCACATAGAGTAGCTATTAAAGGGGATTCATTTTGAAACCTGTATTCTAATAAGAAAATATACAAAGGCAGGGATGGCACCTGTGGCTCAAAGGAGTAGGGCGCTGGCCCCATATCCCAGAGGTGGTGGGCTCAAACCTAGCCCCAGCCAAAAAAAAAAACCACAGCCTGAGCAACACAGTAGGACTCTGACGCTAAAAATAGTGACCAAGTTAGCTAGATATGGTGGCATACGTCTGCAGTCTCAGGTACTCAGGAATCTAAGGCAGGAGCAGGTGGTTGAGGCTGCAGTGAGCTGTGATGCCACTGCATTCTAGTCAGGGACAGAGTGAGCCTGTCAAAATAAAATTAAATAAATAGGGCTGGTGCTGGTGGCTCATGCCTATAATAGGTGGATTATAGAAGACGATGGGTGGATTGCCTGAGCTCAGGAATTCCAGACCACCCTGAGCAAGAGGAAGACCCAACTATCTATACTAAAAAACAGAAAAACTAGCTATGTGGGAGGCTAAGGCAAAGGATTGCTCAAGCCTAAGAGTTTGAGGCTGCTGTGAGCTCTGACACCATAGCACTCTGCCCAGGGCAGAGTTAGACTGTCTTAACAAATAAATGAAAAGACAGAAATGGCATGACCAATCCTAAAAGAGCATGGCTTCTCAGCTGGGGTCAATGGATCTTATGCCTGTGATCCCAATACTTTGGGAGGCATCATTACAAAAAAATTTCAAAAATTAGCCAGGCATGCTCGTGCTCACCTGTAGTTCCATTATTTAGGAGGGTGAGGCAGGAAGATTGAGTTCAAGATTGCTGTGAGACAGGTGGTGCCCGTGGCTCAAGAACCTAGGGTACTCACCACATATACCACAGCTGGCAGGTTCAAATCCGGCCTGGGCCTGACAAACAATGACAACTACAACCAAAAAATAGCCGGGCATTGTGGCAGGCACCTGTAGTCCCAGCTACTCAGGAGGCTGAGGCAAAAGAATCAATCGCTTAACCCCAGGAGTTGGAGGTTACTGAGAGCTGTGATGCCACAGCACTCTACCCAGGGCAATAGCTTGAGGCTCTGGCTCTGTCTTTTTTTTTTTTTCTTTTGAGACAGAACCTCAAGCTGT